AGTGAGAGTCTGTCTTATCTACCTTTCCAACCCCAATGATCTCACCCTTCTTACCATTTCCAAATGAGACATTACCTCCTTTGAGGTCCTCTAGTGAAAGGAACTAGTTCTTGCTTCCTGTCATATGCTTTGAGCAGCCACTATCCATGTACCATATTTGGCCGCTCCCCTTCACTTGGACCTACAAAAAGAAATCAGGGTTAGTCTTAGGAACCCAAACTAGTTTGGGTCCCTTTCTATAGGCAAAAGGGTGAACTAAATTCTTTTTAGCCCATCCTGGTAACCTGTTTTTCCCTTAAACAAATGTTTTGTTCTTTTGACTAGCCTTTTCTTTTGCAGTACATTCACTTTTGTAGTGACCAGTCTTACCACAGTGTGTGCAGATTTTGTTCTTAGGAAGTGTAATGTACTTACTTTTGCGATCCCACTTAGGTGCAGGGGTCCCGTAGCCAAGTCCATTCTTATTGATACTATGGTGTTCTTGTAGCCATGAAAGTGCATCAGAGGACCTAATCCATTTACAGGTTCTGTCTAGCTCGTGCTTAACCTTGATTAGATCCTCCTCTAGGACTCTTATATGCTCATATCTTTTGTACAACTCATCTTTCATTTTTTCCTAGATATTCTTCTAAAGTGAGATGCGTGTGATCACCTTTCTTTTTACCTGTTCCTAAATTCGGTTTCAAATTTGTAGATCTAAAATCTAGCATAGTGGTGTCAAGTACAAGAACCTGGTTCTTTAGCTCAGCATTTGTACTATCACTTTCACTAGCCCTAAGTTCTAGATTTTTGCACTTAGCTCTCAAAATCACACATTCCTTATACAGCTATTCATTTTCATTGTTTATGACCTTAGTGTATTGGTCTAAATTTAGAGACTAGGTAGTAATGGATAAACAACATCCGGGGCGGGGTCGACCGCGGTGTAATAGCAGGAGGCCGCTCTGAAGAGGGGTGACGCCAAGGACGTGCAGTCGAGATGAAGAAATAACAGCATGATAAGTTCAGATGTGGACACAAGGAATATTCCTTTGGATATTCCTTGTTTTGTACATTTTAGGGTTTCTGGGGAATATCCCTTATAACTAGGAAGAGATAGAGAACAAATGGGGGATCTGGACTTTATGGAAAAAAAAATACTATAAAAGGTTGACCTGAGAGAATATACAAAAGTTGTCTTGTTCATTGATTTCATTATTCAAGCATACGTTTTTTATTCTTTATTCAAAAGATCCGAAGATTCCTCAACCCTCTTTATTTCTCTTCTTTCCACATTGCTGTCTGAGAAAAGAGCCATCCAAGTCTTACAATAATTGGGTGGTAGATTCCTTTTTGTTATATTCACTGCCATTATCTATATTTATTGCACATTTAAATATTGCATTCATGAGGATTTTAATCAGCATGAATACACTGATCAACGTTGTTTATCTTACCGACTTCACATAATATTTGGTCTAGATTTTATTATTCTTAACTAAGATTTACCCTTCACCTCAACATTAATTGATTTAACTGAAAGGTTCAACACTTTTTGATCAAACACATAGATTCATCAATGAAATCCAGAAGTAACTCAGATAGACTTTCTTTGGACAAAAACTGAATCTTGTCTTTGAGATGAATTATACTTACCTCAATTCCTCATAAGATTCTCCAATGGCCATAATTGCTTGTTCATCTCCATCTTCATCCTCTTAATCTTCATCTGAACTTTCTTCCCAAGCAGCAACCATAGCCTTTTTTGATTCTTTGTTCTTCTTGGGATGAACCTATTCCTTCTTCTTGTTCCTTTGTTCAGCCCTTTCCTTCTTGCATTCAATTTCCCTGTAAGCACAGTTTTTCATGTGGTGATCAGTCTTCCCACACATGTAGCAGCCCTTGTTGGTCTGTTTTTCAGGAACCCTTGGTTTTTTGTAGCTTGAACCTCTTGAGGAACCCTTTCCTCTCATTAGATATTTCTTGAAGTCCTTTGTGATCATAGTCATTTCATCCTCTTCTAGATCAGCGCCTTCAGTGATTCTGAGTGACAGGCTCCTTTCCTTCTTGGATGCATCCATCTTCATGGTTTTCCTTCTAAGTACATAGGCAGTAATATTTCCAATTAGCTCGTCCAACTTAAGAGTAGCAATGTTCTTTGATTCCTGAATTGCAGTGATTTTGCTTTCCCAAGTGATTGGCAAAACCCTTGTCAAAATTTTCCTAACATTGTCTTCTCCAAGAATAACCCTTCCAAGAGACTTATGTTCATTTGTTAGTGTGGTGAACCTTGTATACATCTCTTGGATGGTTTCTCTTTCCTTCATGGTGAAATTCTCATATTGAGAATACAGCACTGTTCCTCTTGACCTCTTCACTTGAGGAGTTCCTTTATGAGCCACATGCAGAGTGTCCTAGATTTCCTTAGCAGTGGTACAGCTTTGAATTCCACTGTACTCGTCTGGACCAAGTCCACACACAAGCCATTTCTTGGCCTTAACATTCTTTTCCCACTTCCTTAAGTCCTTAGCATTGCAGTCAGCTCTTCTTTTTGGCACATCTACTCCTTCGGCATTCTTCTTATGGTATCTAGGGGACCATCAGTGACAATGTCCCATAGATCATAGTCTTCTCCGATGATGTGATCTCTCATCCTGTTTTTCCACCAAAAGTAGTACTGCCATTAAAGGGTGGAGGCCTAGTAGTGGATTGCCCTTCCCAGTTTCCAGGTGGTGAACTCATCTAGATCAGTTCCTAAGGTGTTAGCCTATTTAAGGATAACCCGCTCTGATACCAATTGATGTTTTACACTTCAATACCACACAAGAGGGGGGTGATTTGTGTTGTGACCAATTTTTGGCTTAAATTGATTATGGAAGGACCTGGTTCTTCTAAGTGTTCCTTAACTTACTATTGTAGAAATAGTAAATGCGGAAAGTAAAGAGCACAAGTATTTTACGTGGAAAACACCTAGCTCAAAAGGTGAAAAATCATGACCTACTTCCCAGTAGGATTTTCCCAAACTCTTCACTAAATCACGGGGCCTAAAACTACATTTACAAAAACACTTTTGTAAACCTAGGACTAACTCTAATCCCGTTGTAGCACACAACCTCTAACTGTTGCGACAACTTCAAGTTAACTCTAACTTGAATACTCTGAGTACCTATTACAATTGCCTCTTGATAAAGCGGAAAGGCACAATATGAAAACACCTACTAGAATTGAACTAGAATAAGAGACAGACAATTGGAACTGGTTCTTCTATCTGGTTCATGTAGCTTCAAGTTTGCACATATGAATCACACACGAACTTCTTGCAAAATTGCCTTGCTATTTTGCTCTCAGTGCACGTTTTACTTCTTCTTATGTACGTACCTGTAAAATGAGAACATTCTGCCATATATAGAGTTAGTAGATGAAGAAATAATCAGAGTTCTAATGCTACTCTTCCTTGGTGGAAGTGTTCTAATTTATTTTAACTACTAAATCCTTCCTTATCTTGGATAGTGTTCTCTTTGAATAAGAAGTCCTTCTCCTTATCATTTATGCAATCTTTTTGGTCAGGGAATATCCATTATGCTAGAATACGTTTATCCCCTACATGTGCATCTCACGTGCCTTGAGTCTGCCTGTGTCTATGTCTACCACTGATGGACCTGGTTCATTTATGAGTTCCTTCGTCATTCTTCAAAACTATCCTTTTTCTTAGGCCAACATGAGACGAGCTTTCAGAAGCTCAACACTGCTTTGACCATAGCGCCGGTGTTGGTGTTTCCCACAGGTTCAGGATCTTATATAGTATATTGTGATGCATCTCGTATTGGACTGGGTACGGTATTGATGCACGGTGGCAAGGTAATTGTGTATGCTTCATGGCAGTTGAAGGTTCACGAGAAGAATTGGGTGGTAGATTCCTTTTTGTTATATTCACTGCCATTATCTATATTTATTGCACATTTATGTTATTGCATTCATGAGCATTTAATTAGCACGAATACACTGATTAACGTCGTTTATCTTACAGACTTCACATATTATTTGGTCTAGATTTTATTATTCTTAACTAAGATGCACCCTTCACCTCATCATTAATTGATTTAACTGAAAGGTTCAACACTTTTTGGTCAAACAATTTGGCACCGTCTGTGGGGAGATTTTAGTTAAAATTTTAGTTTCTTCTAGATCATGAAAAAAAAAGGACAGCCATTTTTTCCTCGTTTGCGCAAACTAACAATGGCAGGAAAAGGAGATGAAAGACAGAAAGTAATAATGAGTGTCACTACCAACATCTTAGACACCATTAACGAGGATACTAGAAGAGACGATGAGAATGTAACACCAACCGCCACACTAGGCGGAGTGATTCACCTCCCCCTCACGCAAGTGTAACCGCCTCACACGAAAGGGGAGCTTCCAAATCCACGGCTGAGGAGGCACCACCAGCACTGAAGAAGTTATTGGAGGACTGGCTGACAAGTACCCTCAATGGCATACTCGGCAAACCCGTTCAAAGGGCGAATCGAAATGCCACATCGGCAAATGTCATAACGACCACCGGTGAGCAACCAGCTCCCCCAACAGGTAACACTCACACCACTGTTGATGCAGGCAATGGTGCACTGACAGCAATTTTAAACAAAATGGAAGAAATGGAAAATGAAAATAAAGCACTCCGCAATCAGATGAAAAAAAAACAAGAAAGGGTCGATAAGATACCGGGCGCCCCGAAACTGCTATCAAAGCGGGATGTTGGTCGATTCGTCGAACAACCATATAGCAAGGAGGCAGCCCCATATGCCATACCCAAGACATTCAAAATGCCACCATATTTGAAGATATACGATGGCACCACAGACCCATAAGATCACATCATTCATTACATCACAACAGTAACAGGCAACGACCTAAAGGAGCAAGTACCGTCAGTACTACTAAAAAAGTTTGGCAAAACCTTTATCGGAGGAGACCTAACTTGTTATTCACAACTACCTGTCCAGTGTATAGCAACGTTCAAAGAAATGGCAGACAAGTTTGTCACCGCCCACGCCGGAGCTAAGAAAGCGGAGGCCGGGGTAAATGACATATTCGCCGTTAGGCAATCGCCCGGCGAAGGACTCGGGGACTTCCTCGCTCGGTTTAACAGGGTGAGAATGAGCTTACTTAACGTATCGGAGGGGATGGTGGTAGCATTCTTCAAAAACGGGTTGAACAAGAATGGATCAAGGGCGACCAGGAAGTTGTTAAGCAAGCTAATGAAATACCCTCCCACCACTTGGGAAGAAATCCACAAAGCTAACTGTGTCGAGGTGAGAGTAGATGACGACGACCTTAACGGTCCAACCCAACGTTTAACGTCAATCCAAATAGAGCCGAGGAAAGACCGTCGTAATGAAAATCGAAGAGATCTGTCAGGCCCACGCCTCAATCGAGACAGGCATCATCCCTATGTCAGAACAGCCATTCCACCACCCCCTCGACATGCGGAAGGGCCGCCCAGACCACACACAGGGACTCAGCAAAGCGAAAGAAGTGTGCCTCCACTCTTATCCGCTTACAATTTTTGTGTTTCTCCTTCAAAAGTAGTGTACGCACTAGAGAAGCTTGGCACAAAGGTAAAGTGGCCGCAAAAGATGGAGTCCGACCCAAGTACCCAAAAGTCGAACGTCCTTTATAAATTTCACCAGGAGCGGGGTCACAAAACCGAAGACTGCATAGCCCTACGGCAAGAAGTAGTGAACATGCTAAACCAAGGACACCTGAAGGAGCTGATGAGTGACCGAGGATGAGCCAACTTTGGCTGCGGACGAGAACAACACCAAGGACCTCCAAAGCCGCCCTCTCCTACTCGCACCATTCAAATGATCATCGACGGAGGCAACAAAACAGCAATCAACCACATAAAATTTACCATCACGCACAAGCTAAAGCGGTCAATCACCCACGAGCGGTATGATGACCACGGAGAAAGTATCATCATCGATAAGTCAGATACCAACGGTTTGATCTTTCCTCACTCCGATGCTCTCGTCATTACTTTACGTATTTTAGATATTGATGTTAAAAGAATAATGGTAGACGACAGAAGCGGCGCTTGTATTATCCACCCTCGAGTTCTTGCACAAATGTGACTCGAGGACAAGATAATATTGTCACACCTCCTCTTTCACTACACCCGCAAGGGCATAAAGGAGTTTTTCCACTTAAAGGACAATCGGAACGGGATTTATTATTAAGATTCAGAGTCGCCACTTGGGAGATTAATGGTGTCCCAAGTCACCAGTTTAGAATCCCGAACCGAGAAAATTATGACTCTGTTAACAGTCCGCGAACCAGAAATCCGAGTAAGGAATTCTGTTAACCCGGGAGAAGGTGTTAGGCATTTCCGAGTTCCGTGGTTCTAGCACGGTCGCTTAACTGTCATATTTGGCTTATTTATTTGATTTTAATACATGTTTTGACCTATATGCTTTTAACTTTGAACCGCTTTTATTATTGTTATTTTAGGAGAATTGCAACATCGTGAAAACATATCTCGAATCGCGTCACATAAATGCACCCGCGTCTTTCGACACATTTCGACTTCGTTGAGTTTTGAATTTGGGTCACATAAATGTGCACCCGAGTTTAGGAATGTAACATTATTGAAAACGCGCTTAAAGAGACTAACGCGTTATTATCTTTGGGGAAAGCCGTGAAATTCGCTAAACGGCCAATCCCGAAGTCTAGGTATTTTTAGTTAAGCATTGAATGAGGGCCCCGCAATTTATACTTTATTCGGCGAGGCTCGTCTCATCTATTATTTATTTTAAAGGGCAAATCCTAAAGTAACTATGACTTCTATTTTTGTTGATCTCTAATAAAAAAAATGCAAGTCCTAATCGATGTGCTACGGGGTTGGAGCAGACTAATTGGTGATGATGTACCAAAGCCAAACGTCGGGCTTCGAAACTGGACATCCGTATATCTCAGCCCAGGCCCAAGCGCATACAGTCATAAAACAGGACCTGGGCTGCTCGTTTATCAATCTGGAGATTACACCTCTTGGGGAAAAGGAATAGTTAAACTCACATGACTAAGCCAAATTGAGCAAATGGCCAGTTAACAGTTGTTCTAATGCATTGTTCAGATGTCGTTGACCAGATTAACACCTTAATAGCTAAGTGAAACTTTTCAAGTTTAATGCATTATTCTAACACCTTAGTGCACATTCTGATGTTTACTAACATTCTTATATTAACTTGAAAATACTACTTCAAACTAATATATCAATTGATGCTTAAGGTAATTAATCATATGAGGTTACAATTAACTAAGTAGCTGATTGATATTCATATTAACAACCAGATTGCCTATGACCAATTCAAATAATTCACTCAGTTGGTGCAGCCCAGTACAACTACCTTAACTACAGAAATCCATATTTCAATCCGTAAAATGTAACTAACATCTGCTACACAATAAACGAACCACAAAAAAATTTTCAAAATATCAGAACTATTGAACATGCAAATCCACGGTTAATAAGGAACACAAGTTCTCATACTACCCAACAGTCTGTACCAAATGATAGCTAACACAGTCCAATTTCAGTTCAAATTATACAACAGCTCTGTTCGAATCTAGTTCATATGATTACTAAACTAATTTGTTCCACACAATTGAACTAGTGTCTAAGTTAAAATCATAGACAACGAATCAATTAAAAAGCAACAGCAGACATTTGGTCAATCTCCATCGATTTTATGTTTCAATCGGCAGCCTATTTTCCCTTGAACAAATATTTTATTCTTTTGACTAGCCTTTTCTTTTGCAGTAAATTCACTTTTGTAGTGACCAGTCTTACCACAGTGTGTGCAGATTTTGTTCTCAGGAAGTATGAGGTACTTGCTTTTGGGATCCCACTTAGGTGTAGGGGTCCCGTAGCCAAGTCCTCTCTTATTGCTACTATGGTGTTCATGTATCCATGAAAGTGCATCGGAGGACCTATTCCATTTACAGGTTCTGTCTAGCTCGTGATTGACCTTGCTTAGATCCTTCATTAGGACTCTTATCTGCTCATCTCTTTTGNTGAGTTCTACCACAAATCACTCGAATGCACCCAAATTTACTTGAGATTGAACTTAAAATGCCCTAGAACTTCACTGGCACTGAACTCAGTCAAAATCCAAACTAAGTAGACCACATTCACTCGAACAAGTCATTAAGCAACTCCAAAAGCTTCTAGAACTAGAGCTTAGAGCAGAAATGAAGAACACCAAAGAGGAATTCGAAAATTGATTGGAATAGGCAATGAAACCGTAATTTTTTTTTGAATTTTCTGTTTTCTATTTTTTTTTTGTTTTGTTTTTTGGATTTTTTGAAGATTTGAGTTTCAAAACGCAGATCTGAAAATTAAAAGAGAGAGAGGGCTTTTAGGGGAATTTTGAGGGCTCCAAAAAAAACTCTCTCAACAAGGCATTTGTGATGCCTTTTATAGGCAACAATCAGATTTTCAGTTATTCTTTTCGTCCCTCTTCATTTTCAGTTGTTGTCCCTCATTTTTAAACCTGCTACTCAAGGAAACACCCTGAGTTTTCTGAAATATTCACTAAGGTCCTATTCTAGAAAGGTCTAAACTATTCTAGTGTGATCTACCATGCTCTACCCAATACCAAATACCTAAACTACCCTTTAATACTTCTAAAATTACTTAACCCAAACCCCTACCTATGATTATCTAGTTAACAATCTTCAACAAACCAAACACACAGCAGGGTGATCAATTGCTGATGAGTTAAACCATCTTAATCAAAGACTTGAAACCAAATTAAATATAAACTGAATTTAATCAGACTTAACAACTATATAACATTCAAATGATTATTAACTAAACAGAATTACAATTGAGATTAAGAATCATTATTCAAATAGCCAAATTGAAACAAATCTAACGAATAACCAATTAATCACCTAAACTAACACGAATCAAGCAGATAAGGATCAAAAAATGAAACAGAAATAAAGAAGAGTCATTGATTTCGGACCGACAATTATTACCAAACAAAGTTAAGACTACATAGTCATCAAAGAAAAATAAAAAGAAACTAAGCTCGAAAACTCACTGACTCACTTCGAGACTCCGGTCAAATTTCCAAATTTGAACACGACCAACTCCGGCAGAAATAAAGCTTGATTGATGACCAATTCACTACGAGGAAGGTTAGAGGGTCATTTGGTATCAAATTGGTGAAGTTTGGGGCAATTAGGGTTTTGGCCGGAAAAAGTTATACTGATATTCGAGCAGTTCCGGCGGGATTCGAGGGATGGGGTTAAGGGGGTTTGATAGAGGAGATTTAGGCGGTTCTAGGGTGTAAATTTGGTGGAGTTGGCGTCATGGCCGGAAAATCTTCGAATGAAGATTCGACGAGTTCAGATGAGATTCGAAGGAAAAGGCCAGTGGATTCGGATAGAGCAGGGGAAGGGGAGTTCATGGTGTTATTCTGAGGTTGATTGGAGACGGCAGTGTCTTCGCCGGCGACGGCTCCGACAGGGTCGGTGGTGTTAAAGGAGATATGTACGAGGAAGAAGGAATGTGTTTTAGGGTTTAATTAAGATTTCGAACAGTTATATTATTAATCAAGAAAAGATGTGAGCCGTTGGATCAGGGGTGATGGGCGGCCTGGATTAATCCTAGCCTAAAACGGGGTCGTATAGGGGAGTGAAGACTTGGACCGGGTGGGGCAAGGTCTGGGCCTAGACGTGGGTGGCTCTTTTGGGCCATCCGGATTTGTTTGTTTTTTTTTAACAGGCCCAATTTGGGCAACCCCTTTTTCTTTTGTTCTTTTCTTTACTTACTTGCTTTTGTTTTATTTTTTGTTTTCATTTTGTATTTTTTTATATTTTTGCTGATTTTATAAAAATGCTAAAAATTAAAATAAAGTCCTAATATATTTCAAAGTTAAACTAATTAAATCCTATAATTATTTAAAATCTATTTCGTGACGAATTCATAATTAAACAATTAAAATGCAAAAGTAAACTATTTTTGTTATTTTTCTCGTATTTTGTTCTAAAACGAATTAACCCCTAATTAATCCTAAAATATGATTAGATCCTAAATGCAAATGTCACGTGTATTATTTTTTTTATATTTTCCATGTGAATTAAATGCACAAATAAAATGCGAACAATTAACACAAAATAACACAAAATTCACAAAATTACAAAATAATGGAAGAAATCATTTTGTTTGAATTTTTGGGAATAATTCACTTAGGGCAAAAATCAAGTGCTCACAGCTGCCCCTCTTTGCTCGGGAACACGAAGATTTCTCGGGCAAAGATAAGTGAGCGGATACGAGCGATTTTTGCCCGTTTGAATATTCCGTATGAAGCATTTTTGAAAACCTGTCTGACCGAACCCTGCTTCAAAGGTTGCCTACATATCCTTGGCTATAAAGGAATCAGGTCAGTGTAGTTCTGGAAGGTTTGGTAGCTGGAACTACCAGGGCTGTGATTTCGCTGCTGTTGTTGCTGTTACTGCTTGCTGACCTCCTTATTACACCATATTAAAATAAAAAGAAGCTAGCCTAAGCTATGATCTATGAATTACAAAAAGGGTCCTATCTATGTCTTCTAACTTGCTCTTTGTGTTGCCTTGAACTTGTATTCTTCCACTGGAATTCTTTTGTTGCTACCTTGAATTGCGTTCTGCCGTGTTCTCCCTTTCCTCAAGTGACGCTTTGACCACTAAAACTTGAAATGTAGTCCTCTGTTCTCCAGGCGGGCTCCTGACTGCTGAAACTTGA